TCTGCCACTAACCAGGCGGTGATTCCCATTCTGGCGGACGCCGTCGTCACCAGTCCCTTCGATCCCTTTGCCGGCTTTGTGGAGTACTCGAACAGCGTTCACGTAGATCGTCACCACCACCCGCAGCAGCAGCAGCAGTACCTGCAGTACCGGCCCTTCCTCAACAGCGATCCACTGCTCTCCGGGCACATTGTGCTCAGTCCGCTGGGCGGCGACCAGGAGGGAGCAGCAGGAGTAGCCGACGTCCACCACCACCAGGAGGAGGAGGAGGACTACACCGCCGGGCTGCACAGCAACAACAGCTACGTTTTCTCGCCGTACAACAACAGCACCGTCACGCGTTCGCCGTCCACCGAATCGGCCACCTCTTTCAGCTACAACCCACAAAGTATGCAGCCGCAACAGCAGCAGCATCGGATGTCCCAGGAAGGAGGAGGACTGAAAATCAAGGAGGAGGTGATGAGTGATGACTCGAATGATGATGAGGAGGAGGAAGATGACGATGATGACGAGAAGAAGAAGGCTGCTGGAAAGCGCAAAAAGGTGGCTAGTGGTGATGGCGGTGGCGGAGGCGGCCAGGCTGGACCGAAGCGAAAGCGACAACGACTGGATCACCTCACTGCAGAGGAGAAGCTGATGCGGCGGTACGTTTTGCTTACCCAAAGCTCGAAATTGCTGATGCTAACGTAGAAGTAGAATCTGATTTTGAAAAACTGTTGACGCAGCGATGATGAACGTTTGATGAGTCGTCATTTTCACCAACTTTCTTTCTTCTTTCTTTTACCAAAACTGTAGAAAGCTGAAGAACCGCCTGGCGGCACAGACGGCCCGAGACCGCAAGAAGGCCCGCCTGAATGAGCTGGAGGCGCAGGTGGAGCACCTGATCGAGGAGAAGACCAAGGTGGAGGCTCGCTGTAAGGCGGCGGAGATCAAGGTGGCTCTTCTCGAGACGCAGCTGGCGCAGGCTCGTTCCGCCATTGGCGTCTGCTCGATGTGCGACCAGAAGAAGAGCGGGTCGTCCAAGCGCGGATGATGACACTGTGAACACACCCCAACCCAAACACGCCCCGCATGAGCTTCATTCTCTGTTCTTCATTTTCTTCTTCTTTTCATCCGTTTATCCTCTCTGATTTTGATTGCTCAAATTCTTCACTTCTGTAGGCACTTCTTCTTCTTCTTCTTCTTCTTCTGTTAGTGTATGCTTGGTTTTACGAATTGTTTTCATCTGCTTTTACCCACCTTTAGGCAATAATATAAACTTTTTAGGTGAATCTTCAGTGTCCTTCAAGGTCTGGAACTCATTTCGTGTTGACACGCCTGATCAGCTGATCTAGTCTGTTTGCAAACAAAAGTTGAACTTTTTTCAACATTTGAAACAGCCTCTGGCGCCATCTCACGCTGAAGGCCCTTAAGAAAAACGCCCATTTTGGGTGGCCCATTTCGAAGCTCAACAAGGAAAAAGAAAACGCATCAGTTTTACTACAATTTACTTTTATTATGTCTGCGGTCAAAATCGGGTGAACAAAAGAAAAGGTAAGAGTGTAGTATCAGTGGTGGTGATAGTAGTGATGGTGTGAGAGGTGTGAATGAATGAATGAATGCATAAAGGGGCGAGAACAGAGTTTGGAAATAGAGAGATGAGAAACGAGTGAGGAATAAAGAGAGATATGATGAGATACCATATTAGCGACTGGACGACAAATGTCTCAAGGTGTATAAATAATAAGGAGAAGAATAAGGTGAGAAAAAAGTGGTGCAAAACGACGACCGAAAAATAGGTTAGCAAACGAGTCCAGCTTCTCCCAAAAGACAGAGAGTGAAACAGATGAGACGCTAAAGAGAGTAAAGTGGTGGCTTGCTAAAGCAGTGGGGCGCACTACCGCCACCAATTTAGAACATTTCGGGGTAGCGCTCCAGAAAGGTGGCATCAATCAGCATTGGATCGGAGGCCATCAGCGAGGACGACGCTAGGCCGGAGCCGATGAAGCCGTCGCCAAAGAGGCGGTCCTCCGTCAGGTCGTCCATCAGCTTCATCATCTCCTGCTCGTCGATGCTCGCCTGGTCCTGCTGGTTAAAAAGGAGGCCAGCTGAGCCGGTGCTGCTGCTCAGCAGTGGACTGCCGCCAAAGCAGCCGTTGCTGTTGTTGTTGTTGCAGTTGCTGATGCCTCCGTCAGAGCCGACCGGCGAGGCGACGCCCGACTCGTAGCCAATGTCTGCCAGCGAGCTGCTACTCAGCGGACTGACTGGGAAAGAGGTGGTGGAGGTGAGAAGTGAATCGAGGAGATCGAGGTTGTTGTTGTTCAGGTCAGCGGTGGGCGAGACCACTTTGATGAGGGTGGCGGCGTAGTCGTGGTCGACGTGCAGGCTACCATGCCTAAACTCCGGTGAACTGCTTCGGCTGTCGTTGCTGCTGCTGCTGCTGCCGATGTTCAGTGATCGGGCGGCCGAGGCGGCGCCCGCGCCCTTGGCACCGGTCGCGGCACCGCCGAGGGCGAGCGAAGATGCGAGGAGACCTGACTGGCGGCCACCTGACTGGCTGCCGCCGCCTCCAGCAGTGAATTCCAGCGTCGATTCATCGATGCTGGCGAAGAGCTGCTGGACGCTGCCAGAGACGGCGCCGAGAGGAAAGCTGTTGAGCAGACTGTCGGGGTCAAAGAGGGCGGCGTCTGCCTCTGCTGCTGCTTCGTCGCCGTCCGTCGAGCTGCTGCTGTAGTTCGTCTGCTCTCCGAAGCAGAAGGCGTCACTGACTGCTGCTTCGATATCTGCAGCGACTCCTCCAGCACATCCATACTGAAGGAAGGATTGCTCATCATAAGACTGAACAAGGGAATCAAGAAGTTCATCAATTTCGCTCGGCGCAATGTTGAGGTCGTTGAGAAGGAGCTGCTCTTCGGCGACGGCGGCTGTTGCGAGGCAGCCCTGTTGTTGTTGTTGCTGCTGCTGATTCGCGGCAGACAGTCCTCCGCCTCCCCCTCGTGGGAGCTGGTGCTGTTGCTTCGGCTGCTGCTGTTGTACGGCGCCGTTGAGGACGTTGAGGTGATGACCGTGGAGCGCACCTGACTGCTGCNGCCTCCCCCTCGTGGGAGCTGGTGCTGTTGCTTCGGCTGCTGCTGTTGTAAGCCGCCGTTGAGGACGTTGAGGTGATGACCGTGGAGCGCACCTGACTGCTGTTGCTGCCGCTGCTGTTTGACCTCCACCTCGGGTACTCCACCTCGTCCTCCTCGGCATCCTCCGCGTCGGCGGCGGCCTCCTGCAGCTGCGCCTGCTGCTGTTGCGCCCTTAGTCGTCCTCGCTTGGACGCCGCTGCCAGGTAGTCCTGATCCTGCTGCTGAGGTTCACTAATGAGCTCTGCTGACTCAATGGACTGACTGGCGGCGACGGCCACTCGACTTCGACCTTGGGGCTCCAGCGGCGGGACACGGCTGCCGGCGGCTGCCTTTGACTTGGCGGATGACTTGGCGGCTGAGGTACTGTCCACGGAGGCTGTAGGGGCGGCGGCAGCGGTGGTGAGCACCAGGCCGCTGTCATCGGAGACGTCGCTCGAGTTGTCGCTCTCATTGCCCTCCATCATCATCTCTCCGCCGCTGATCATCTGGCGGTGCAGGAGGTCCTCTTCGGCGTCTGACCACTGCTCCTCATC